TTAATGATTTAAACATAAGACCTAACACCATAAAAACCCTAGAAGAAAACCTAGGCAATACCATTCAGGACAGAGCTATAGGCAAGGACTTCATAAATAAAACACCAAAAGCACTGGCAACAAAAGACAAAATAGACAAATGGGATCTAATTAAACTTAAGAGCTTCTGCACAGTAAAAGAAACTACCATTAGAGTGAACTGGTAACCAACAGAATGGGGAAAAATTTTGCAATCTACCCATCTGACAAAAGACCAATATCCAGAATCTGCAAAGAACGAAACCAAATTTACAAGAAAAAAACAACCCCACCAAAAAGTGAGCAAAGGATATGAACAGGCACTTTTTAAAAGAAGACATTTATGTGGCCAAGAAACATATGAAAAAATGTTCATCATCACTGCTTATCAGAGAAATGCAAATCAAAACCACATTGAGATACCATCACATGCCAGTGAAAATGGTGATCATTAAAAAATCTAGAGACAACAGATGCTGGAGAGGATGTGGAGAAATAGGAACACTTTTACACTGTTGGTAGGAGTGTAAATTAATACAACCATTGTGGAAGACAGTGTGGCGATTCCTCAAGGATCTAGAAGTAGAAATACCATTTGACCCAGCAATCCCATTACTGGGTATATATCCAAATGATTATAAATCATTCTATTATAAAGACACATGTACATGTATGTTCACTGCAGCACTGTTTATGATAGCAAAGACTTGGAACCAACCCAAATGCCCATCAATGATAGACTGGATAAAGAAAATATGCACCATGGAATATCATGCAGCCATTAAAAAGGATGAGTTCATATCCTTTGCAGGAACATGGATGAATCTGGAAACCATCATTATCTCAGCAAACTGACACAGGAACAGAAAACCAAACACCGCATGTTCTTACTCATAGGTGGGTGTTGAACAATGAGAACACATGGACACAGGGAGGGGAACGTCACACATTGGGGTCTGTTGGGGGGTTGGGGGGCCAGGGGAGGGATAGCAGGGGGTGGGGATATTGGGGAGGGATAACATTAGGAGAAATACCTAATGTAAGTGATGGGGGGATGGAGGCAGCAAACCACCATGGCATGAGTATACATATGTAAGAATCCTGCAAGATCTGCACATGTATCCCAGAACTTAAAAGTATAATTTAAAAAAAAACGTGGCTTTTTCAATAACAGAAAGAAGAGCTAGAGAACATGTATTTCTTTATAAAATTAAACTCAGCCAAGTGAAAAAGTCCTATCTGTACAAGAAAAAATCTAGGAAAACATGTTTGCTCTCCTCCCAAAGATAAATAATTACATGAATGTTTCAAGAAAAGCATTCAGTATATTTCTAAATCATCTAAACATGTCTCTCTGTATTGCCATTGCTCAAGGGATGTCTTCCATGTGTTTCCCACAGGTCCATATGCAAAAGGTAAATCTGTTGCCTTGACACCAAACCTAAATACACATGGTAGCTGAGGTAACTTGGATGAAGAACATAGCTATAGCAAGGGGTGTAAGAAAGGAGTAATGGAAGGTGGGGTGTGGAACACCATAACTACTCAGCTTAAACATTTACACAGAAATTTTTACTATATTTGAATTGCCTTGGTGTATCGACCTTACACAAAGTTCCTTCACAGAACCCACCTCAACCTGAACTGAATGAGTCAAAGAAAATCAGCACTCCTGACATAGCTCATTCGGCCAGGGTGACTGTCTTCTTACGGAACTCATCCACAGGCTAGCCAATGACCTGTGATATCAGTAGCCTTCACAGAAAAACCAGCCTAACCCATTCAGATTCCTCTTTGGGAATCTTAACTAAGAGACACCAAAGAAACTGTGCTATAAATGTGGAAAACTGGGTGAAGGGTACAGAGGACATTTTTGTACTGTTTTTTGCAATTTCCTATGAATTTATATTTATTTCAAAGCAAAAAGTTGGTTTCTTTTTAATATCAAGTATTAACTAAAACATGTACCTATCTGTATTAATTTCCTAGAGCTGTATTTGCTACTTTTTTGCTTTTGACACAAAATACCAGAAACAAGGTGGCTTAAAACAACAAAGATATTCTGTCTTACAGTTCTGGATGCCAGAAGTCAAAAATCAAGGTGTTAGCGAAAGCCACGCTCCCTATGAAATCTACAGTTTTCCAGCAATCTTAGGTGTTCTCTGGCTTATAGAAGCATCCCTCCAATACATGGCATTCTTCCTGTGTGTCTGTGTTTTCACAGGCCATTTTTTTTATAAGGATATGAGTCATATTAGATTAGGGGCCCTCCTTACCCCAGTATGAGCTCCTTTTAACTAGTTATATCATCTCCAACAACTCTATTCCCAAATAAGGTCACATTCTAAGGTACTGGGGTTTAGGACTTCAGTATTTTTATTTGGGGGGAGAGGGACACAATTCAGCCTATAGCGCTATCCCATCAAAGACCCAATTCTAGAGTCTATTATTTTTCACAATGGAAATCTTGTTCATTTCTTTAATAAATCTTGGATCTCCTTTATGTATCAGCCACTGTGCCAGATGCTGTGAACACAAAAATGATTAGTATGACAAGTCTGGCTCGGGTTATTCATTTTTTTCTGTAAGTGTCAGCTAAGGTTTCTAACATCCTCCTTCTGAAGGAATTTTTAGAGGTCAGTCTTCATAGTCCCACTACAACTGCTCATAGGCATGCAACAAATGTCACAGTCCACTGTAATGCTCTGTGGCACACTTATTATGTGGTGCTTTCTTGCTTGTTTGCTAATTTATTTGCCTGGTCTCCCCTCCTTCACTAAAATTTAAACTCTATGAGGTCACGGTTTGTGACTATCTTTGTTCCTCTGATACATACCTATAAACTAGAAAAATCTTCAACCTAGTAGGCACTCAATTATTTGTTAAAAAAAAAATTCACTGACTATCTGCATGTCAGACTATCTGTATATTATCCTTGTAGTCCTCATAACGACCCTCCCAGGCACCTGCTGGAGCCCTAATTCATACTTGGAATTAAGGCTTTGAAAAGTTTTAATATAACCATCCTGACAAAAGGCATCAGAAGGAGTCAAATGAGGCATGATAACAACTTCAAACCAATTGGGCTTAGCCCAGTTCTGCAGCTGTGGTCACTTTTATGCTCCCGCAGCCAATCGAAAATGCTCCGTGTCCTGTATTCAAAAAATATTCCGATTTAATATACCGGAAATACAGTTCACTTCAATTTCTAAAGATAAAATCCCAACTAGATAGAATTTCTGATGCTTGAAATAGGAATAGTTGGAGAGATCTCTGAATTTAAAAATAAAACACATTTGTGCTTTCATGTAATCATACAATCAGAAAACTGAATATAACTTCCACTGGCCAACAACAAACCACTACAATTCGAGCATTCCAAATATGCAGGGTGTATGAGATCAAAGTCTAATTTGCTTTAAAATGCATGTAATTGGTCCAAGAAATGACAATTTTAAATTAAAGCAATAAGCTATTTAATTCAAGCCATTTGAAAAAATATTTTCAACACTATTGAAACTTAATATTAAAAGTACATTATATAAAAATATTTTACGTCATTTTTAAATAAAACTCATTTGTTTTATTAAACTGAACATTTTCTCCTAAAAAGACTTCAAGTATTAATTTTTTCCATTTTATTCCTTAAATAAAATTCTTCTGACTCACTATACTAGTAGAAAATTGTGTGTGTGTGTGTGAGTGTGTATGTGTGTGTGTGTGTGTGTGTGTGTACTTTCTTTAACCTAACACACATATACATATAATTTCTTTAACCTAGCCAAATTTGAAACCAATAAAATTGTTAGGTCAGCTGCCTATTCATGATAGACATAGAACGGAGGCAACTTGGTAGGAAGGGAGGAATTAATATTTGAGCCCAACTGCTCTGGGAACTTTATATGTATTATGTTTTGAAGTAAAACTATTAAAAACTTTTCATTCCTTCTCTCCTAGACAGATATTTTCTGAGAAACACTCTGCAACCAACACCCAGATTTTAGTGAGATTTTTCACAACTTCTGCAAATCTGCTAACTTTAAATACTCATGCCTTTAACATCTGTAAACACATGAACGGACAAACAGAAGTTTCCTGAATGTATTATAAACAGCATGAATAGTCTAAAAATAGTAAGGCTTGTTTTCACATTCCAATTATTGGCTATCTTAAACTTCAGTGTTTTTTGAAGTTCATTTAGCTGATTCCTATCATCCTGCTGATTTTTAAGGATTTCTGACATTTTAAATATTATCCATCATTTGTATTTGATCATAAATTATTTCCACAGACAGAGCCCCACACCATTATTGTCCTCTGAAATGTCTTACCCCATCTGAATAGCTACCTTGGGATAGTGTGGGGTACAATTCATACACAAATTCCTGATTTGAAAGCTAGAAAGAATCTACAGAACCATCACGCCCATTTTATGGGTAATATTACCGTGGCAAAGAGGAAGGCAGTGACTTGTCCAGCCTCACACAGGACTTTGGTGGAAAACCTTTTACATAAAGCAACAGAGCTAGCAGGCCTTGACTAATTTGCAAATGCACTTAGGATCCGTGTACTGGCTGAGGGTAACGCAAAAGCATCATGTGGCAGAAACATAACCACCGGTGAACATCTCACAGTCTGGGGCACCCCTGCGGTAGCCAGCAAACAGCGCACACAGGGCTGAGCTTCAAAAGATGGTGACCCTGAACAAATGTAATTTGTGGAAGAAATAAGCCAAGAAAGGAAACATATGAAGCCTGATGGCACAAAAATCAAAATAAACAATTAAAAAATAAAAGCCTCCAGGCAATAGGGAAACAGAGAAAGGAACTACAGATACAAGGAGGACATCACCACACTTTGCTTGAACATAAAGACTATAACCTACTTTCAACGGTAATTACAGATACAAAAACCTGCCTATGCCCACCTCTTTACATTTCAAAGACAAATAAATTTAGCTGTGAAGAAAATTTACTACTTACCAGTCCTGCTATTGGTGTAGACAGTCTATTGATCTTCTTAATGACGCCAGGCTTAAGCTTATTAATCAAACTGAAAGTAAATAAATAACATATGCAATTACAAGATGCCAATATCAGTTTAATGATTTTTTTAGCATTCTCAAAAATAACATATATCACTACTCCCTCCCCCAAATGTGTTACACAGAACCAACAGCCCATCAGAAAGCAAATAACCAAGAAATCAAGTTGAGAGACAAAGAAAAGCACCACACACAACGGTGAGTGGTCCTCGCTATTCTATAATCTCTGTGTGTGGACACAGGCCTACTTCTATGTCCAAAGCCATCCTTCAAAGAGTTAGTTTCACATTTATTAAAGAAAGGTAATATTTGCTTATGTTTCAATTGCCAGTTTAAGAATCTCTTCATCATAACTTTGTTCACTTCACCCAAAGAATACTATTTTCTACTAATAGTTTTTACTGATTTTTTTTCTCAAACTGATCATTTTTAAAGGTAGCTTCAAAACCATATTATTTTGCCACATTAAAAAGGTAAGGTGGACTCATACAAATAGTCAACTAACTTTTTGGTAATTCATTGAAACCCATAATTGATTGCTTTATTACCATAGCAGAATGACTGGGCGAACATTAAATTAAATGTACCAGAACACCCCAAATTAACTAAGTTACCTCGGAGTCTAGTACTTTAGATTGAACAGAACAAGTTTAAATTAAAATGAAAGATACTGCAAAGATATATATGTCTCCGTACTCTATAAAAAAGAAACTTGGCTTTGACAACTGAAACTTGAGTACAGTTTTGCTTCTAAATCTAGATTATTATGAATTCTTTTTTTATTGTTGATAAGTAACACTGTGCCAGGTCATGTAGAAATTTAATGCTCTAAAAATGCTTTTCTATTAATGTTAGCTTGGTTAATTAATCATTAATCACTGTCAGAGAACACTACCTTGAAACTGATTTTCCTATTCAAAAACCCATCCACAAGAAACAATTTTTTATTCTGTAACAGAGCTCCAGAAATAAAGGAGAAATCATTAAACATTCTGAATTTACTTGTCTCCTCGGCACAATGGGCAGCAGAAAAAAAGAAAATCTGAAGCCTGTGGAATGTCACTCCTTCAACATTCCAAAGACTTATATATACACTTGGGTGTGCTAAAAATAAAAAAGACAAAACTCTTGATGTAATAACCTACAGAATGTTGTTCGGCAGGATTCATAATTACAAAACAGTGGCTTATGAAGACTTAGTTTGGTGAACAAAAGATGTTTTTCTGTTTTCATGGTTTCTACACACAAAGATCATTTGACAATATAGTTAATACCATCCTCTTGATAGAACAATTATTCCCTGACTCCTAATTTCTGATTTGTACACAGAAAGACAAGTAGAAAGGAAAGCATTCTCCCTCATGTCCACATGATTTTTTTTCTTAATCACTAGCTGAGGAGGCAGGAAAGAATTCAGTAAGTTTATCAGAAATAATAATTCCTAATTAATTCTTCTAGTTGTTCCCTATGAACAAGGTATTTCTATATTTCCATTACTGGTGGCATTCTTGCAATGCATAGAAGAACTAATAACTGCAGTATTACTGAATGGAAACATAATTCTGGCAAGTATAAATCAAGAAATTATTTGCAGTTTGTGACCACTACCTTGGCACTGACTTTCCTAGAGTAACTTGTATTTTGAAGTTTAATCTTTAAATGACATAAATTGGAGGCCATTATGAGCTGGGGCAACATAAAAAATGTCAGGAAAGTCTGGCTGGAGGAAGAGTGTCATAAATTTCTGCTCCACCTATTTGAGTCACTGGTGACTTTGACCAGGTCATTCGGTTTACCTGTTTATATCACGTATCATTTTTATGTTACAGGTTTTGTAAGAGAAAGTACGTTTTTAAAAATACAGCTTCTGGAATTAGAATTAATAATATCAACTACTCTCAATTCAGTCAGCCAAGGAAAGTAGAAGATACAGCTAAAAGAAATAGAAAAGATAAATGACGTCTCCCAGTAATGAGTTAATTAACTCCTACCTCATCAGAAGGTTCCAAAGCTATTACTTAGAAGCAACATACACACATGGATTAGCATTCCTTTTCTACCCTACACCTTCAAGTACATATGCAAACACGGAAATAACCATGAGGAAAAAACAACACTCTGAATAACACACAAACTAGCCTCTAAAAAGTTGAGTCATTGGAGGAAAATCCTGTATTATTTTGTTAGTAGTTACAATGGTCATCTATTCTAAACATTATAAGCTGGAGAGAAGACACAGGTAGTCTTGGCAAATACTGAACATCCAATTAAATTATGAATCATCAGAAGTTATTTTCATATACAATTAAAGGAAAACCTTTTAGAATATTTCTTCTAAGGAGAAAAACAGTGAGTCTTACAAAATCTAAACCTCTGTGAAATTTGTGTGCCTAGAGAAATAGGGGCATAATCTTATGTCAAATCAAAAACAAATGCCGTCTATGGAAATACTCTTTTCTACAAGTAGAACTTCTTTGCATAAAAAGCATTCTTCAATCACACATATGGAATTCCTAAGGTAACACTGGCTTCAGGTAACTGACTCTATTCAAGATTCAGGTAACATAATAACCTTCCAGATACCTCTATGTAGTAGGATCTAGAATCAGTCAAGGAGCCATTTTATCTGTTTGTTTCCCCTTGTTCCAGCTCTCTAGCCCTAAGTAGAATTATCTCTGTCTTCCTCCAAGCCTTTCCTTAAGACCAGAGCCTGAGCCTGGTTCTGTGCTTGGTTAGTGCATCAGAGGCTTGCTCTTCTGATAGGATTAAAACCAGAAGAAAGCACATAGTAATTTGACACCTCCCAAGGCAGAGCATTCACAGGTAAAGCCAGCAACTTCTCTCCTCCCTCAGCTCACCCCTTGCTAGGATCAGAATGTTTACATTCTTCCCAAAACTCATACCTTGAAATCCTAACCCTGAAAATAACAGTATTAGGAGGGGGAGCCCCTGGGACATGATTACGTCATGAGGGTAGAACCCTCATGAATCGGATTCGGTCCCTTATAAAAGAGGCTCCTGAAAGCTGCCTTGCCCCTTCCACCACATGAGGTTACAGTGAGAAGTCTGTCTACGAAGGAAGCAGGTCCTCACTATATGCCACATATGCCAGTGCCTTGATCTTAGACTTTCCAGCCTCCAGAACTGTGATAAATAAATGTCTATTGTTTATAAACTGCCTAATTTATGGTATCGTGATATAGCAGCACCCCAAAAAAAGGTATCTCTCAAGTCGCCTCCTTCCTTTTCTTCTCACTCCCCTCCTTCAGCCTCAAACATATTGTCCGTTCCCTTCAAAGAAGTTGCATGATGACAGATACTAGAGAGTTGGCTCTGTTCAAAAGCCTTGTCAGTAAATATAACCCGACTTTAAATATAACTCAGAGAGGAAATTCAGAAAACTGTACATAAAGCTCTATATAATAATGTCTGGCTCAGTTACAAAAGCTTTAGTGAGAACTAGAATTTGATGCTCTGTTTCTATTAGTGTCCAGAAACTAGTTTTAAATGCCAAATTTCATTTTTCCCTTTATCAGAAAGATTTTCAGCTGAGGTACAAAATTTATGGACACTTTTTGAGTTCCTATTTCCAAAGATTTTCAAAATGAACAAGAAAGATGACTTTGAATAACATATTAATACACTGAATGAACTTTTTAACCTGTGAATTATTGTCATTCACACACACATATTTCTAATATCTTTTTCATATGCATTTTCTAAATATCTCCTATTATCAAACTTCTATTAATAACTACATTTTTTAAAGATATAATAAAGATATTACATTTTGTTCACCAATTAAAGAGCAATGATTTCTGCTTTTTTAATGTTTTATTTGTTTCAGTAGATTTTTGGGGAACAGATGGTGTTTCATTACATGAATAAGTTCTTTGGTAGTGATTTCTGAGATATAGGTGCACCCATCACTTGAGGACTGGACACTGTACCCAGTATGCAGTCCTTCATCCCTCACTACCCCGTACTCTTCCCCCCGAGTCCCCAAAGTCCAATACATTATTCTTATGCTTTTGCATCCTCATAGCTTAGCTCCCACTTATGCTGAGAACATATGATGTTTGGTTTTCCATTCCTGAGTTACCTCACTTAGAATAATGGTCTCCCATCCCATCCAGGTTGCTGCAAATGCCATTATTTTGTTCCTTTTTATGGTTCAGTGGTAGTCCATGACATATATATTTACACCATATCTTCTTTATCCAATCACTGATTGATGAGCATTTGGGCTAGCTCCATATTTTTGCAACTGCAAATTGTGCTTCTATAAACATGGGTGTGCAAGTATCTTTTTCGTATAATGACTTATTTTCCTCTGGTTAGATATCTAGTAATGGTAGATCTACCTTTAGTTCTTTAAGAATCTCCACGCTGTTTTCCATAGTGGCTGTACTAGTTTACATTCCCATTAGCAGTGTAAAACTGTTCCCTTTATGCTGCATCCACACCAACAACTTTTTTTTTTTTTAATTTTTTTATTATGGTCATTTTTGTAGGAGTGCGGTGCTACTGCATTGTGGTTTTGATTTGTGTTTCCCTGATTATTAGTGATGTTGAGCATTTTTCCATATGCTTGTTGACCATTTGTATATCTTCTTTTGAGAATTGTCTATTCATGTCCTTAGCCCACTTTTTGATGGGATTGTTTGTATTTTCTCTTGCTGATTTGTTTGAGTTCCTTGAAGATTCTGGATATTAGTCCTTTGTCAGATGTACGCATTGTGAAGATTTTCTTCCATTCTGTGGGTTGTCTGTTTACTCTGCTGATTGTTTCTTTTGCTGTGCAGAAGCTTTTTAGTTTAATTAAGTCCCATCTATTTATCTTTGTTTTTGTTGGATTTGCTTTTGGGTTTTTGGTCACAATGTCTTTGCCTAAGCCAATGTCTAGAAGGGTTTTTTCAATGTTATCTTCTAGAATCTTTATGGTCTCAGGTCTTAGGTTTGAGTCTCTGATCCATCTTGAGTTGATTTTTGTATAAGGTGAAAGATG